TCTTAGATACTATATCTAATTCTATAAAAAATACTATAAACATACTATACTATATATACACTGATCAGGCATAACATTATGACCACCTCCTTGTTTCTACGCTCATTGTCCATTTTATCAGCTCCACTTACTCTATAGGTGCACTTTGTAGTTCTACAGTTACAGACTGTAGTCCATCTGTTTCTCTGATACTTTGTTAGCCCCCTTTTACCCTGTTCTTCAGTGGTCAGGACCCCCATGGACCCTCACAGAGCAGGTACTCTTTGGGTGGTGGATCATTCTCAGCACTGCAGTGACACTGACGTGGTGGTGGTGTGTTAGTGTGTGTTAGTGTATATACTATACTATAAAAACTGAATAAACATCTAAACAACACAACTAGTAACTAGGGATGCACCAACACCACATCTTCCCTTCTGTAACCGTTACCTGATCCTTGAGTAGCTGCTGGTACTCAGTACCAGTACCTAACTTAACTGGCCTACAAATCCTGATATTTATACAATTCCATTTCTTAAATATTTCATTTTGGTAAAAGCAGCAGCGTATCTGACTTGGCATAACCAGTGCTAAACATTGTTTTACGTCCATTTGTCTAATACATACGTCCTATACTCTCACGCTTACATCAACAAGCAGCAGCATCTGCTGGAGCTTCGTACATATTACTATCACTCTATCAATCCCACCTGTTTCCAGCAGCATTCTCAGCTCGAGGGGAGCACTACGCCATAAGACCACACCATTATCTGATGCAGCTAACTGACGAAGGCGCACTGCAGGTGGGCTATTTTATACACTAGCCCAGCTAGCGGGCTGCTATGCTAAAGGCTAAATCAAGGCTCAAAGCTTTTGCTACCCCAAGAAACCAGGGCTTCCTTCCATATATTTCTCTAACATTCACTCCCTCAATAATAACCTGGACTAACATTATTTCAGACCGCAACTGACTACACAGTGAGGGATTACTGACTTTGCCATTCGGCTAAAGCAGGTAATGTTGCCAGAATTTGGTTCACTGGAATTGGTATTCTCTATACTGCATCTAAGGCCCAATCCCATTTCACCTCTCGCCCCTACCACTCAGCCCTTAGCCCTCTGATGTGCGCGTTCATGTCTAGGGGTAGGGTGTCCTGTTTTTTGTTGAGATGGGGTTGGGTGATATGTTAGGGCTACATGACCCTCCAAACAGAGGTTTTTCAGAGACGAGTGTTATGAGAAAAAAAGAAAAACCTGCAAGATGGCTGACAAGAGACCAAAGAGACCCACAAATGTGAGAATTTTCTCCGTTAAAAATTACGATAACCACTGTATTATCTTAGTTTAATGTCGTTTCAGTGTATTATGGTCATTTTCTTCATAACAAGCATATAAAATCCCTAATAGTATGCAAACGTTTCAGTAGCTAGCTAGCTAACTTTCCCGTTCAACCTTAAATAGTCCAGCAGTTCTGACGTCTGAAGCGCCAGAATGTAACTGCTGCACCATTTAAGGTGGAACAGAAAAATTCGAACAAGAAGCTGGACAATATCTGCCTTCAGCTTCGTATCACCAAAGAATTAGGGGTGGGTGATAATAAATAGTTATCTTATACCCCGTCTTTGAAGGCATATGGTGTCCTAAATGTAAACTTTTCCCTCCTCTGCTACCACTGAAGACGGGCCGGGTCGCCTACAGAGCAGCGCTAGTAGCTGTTAATGAAGCAGTGTTTTTTTATTATTTTTTTTTATTTGAGGGTCCCTTTTCGTAGGGCAAGATTTCAACCACTACCCCTTGTAACTCTGTTTCCAAGGGGTTAGGGTGACACTCGAAAACAAGGGGTAGGGGTACAAAAAAGAAATGGGTTTGGACCTAAGTGTTAGTGTCACACAGACAATGATTGAAATGATTGAAAATATCAATATAGTATAATACAAAGAAACAATACGCAATCCCAGACCAAGCAAGGGAAATAACATAAAAGGCTAATGCTATCACAAGCAATAGAATGGACTATTTATATGCTAAAGAGGAAGCAGATCAGGGGACTAGAACTAGATCAGGTAAAGATGAGCCAGGCAGAAGCAGGTTGAGGAGCTGCAGGAGAATCTTGGGAGTGACCTGATGGATTTAAGAATGCTTGCCGATGGTACTTATATATACAGCAACATATATATCAGGTGGCCATACATAATGCATTTATACCTGTCCTATTCTGAGTTATAAGAACTGGTTTAACAACATTAGCTTACTTGCACCAATAAATCAATTGATTGGTCCTTGTGCCAGGCATACTGGCTTCAATTACTTAAACAACCTCATATAAAAGGACTGCTGAGGTGTTTTTTTACTGAATTCATTGCTTTTTAGTTATATAAGATGCTGTTTCCTCATAATTGACCATAATGGCTGTATCATTTTGTTACTATAGCCATAATAGTCTTGTAATAAAAAACAGCTGCATTGGTGCTCAAGGGAAATTCACAATTTTTTAGACTAGTTAGTATTTTTTCTGTTAAAATTTATAGTACATCCCCAAAATCCAAGAGAGTGCTCTCCCAGTTCCACTACTTACATTATTATGCCTGAAAGCCCTCGCTATGACAACAAGGGAAAGGCAAAGCTGAAACCCCTAAAACAGAAAGTGCATTAACAGCATGAGTTGGGCGTTCGCATGATTTTCCCAGGCCTAATTATTCTGAAAGGGAAAAGAGGTTGTTAGTCTTGGACAGGGCTCTTTTTTGGAGTGGTGTCTGAGAGCTGGCTTATCTACTATAAATGAATGATGGACACCATGCTGAGCGGTTCCTGTCTCCAGGGGACAGCAGTCATATTTTGAGGGGGGGTGGGGGCAAAGCTAAGTGAGACAAGCTTGTCTGCAATGAGAGATTCAGTACCCTGGCAACAAGCGGAGAACAGAGAACAGTTAGAATTACAGGGTGTGTGCAAGACAGTCCAAAGCTGGGGGAGCTTCAAGCTCGTCTTCAACATACTGAGAAAATCAGAGGTTATGTCCATGCAGCCACTCATAAACTGTCTGGTCGCCAAATTACCAGGAAGTGCCGCATACAGCAACAGTGCTTCTGTGAAACCTCATGTCTCGACCCTGTTGCGATAAAACAGAGCGTGTATATACGCAACTCAAGTGCAACTGGCCAAGAACAATTTGTTGTGAAAGGCCCTTTTGCATTCAGCTAAACATCTGTCAGCACTCTATTGTGATCCAAAAGGACAGGCAGCACTAACGATCCAGGACTTGAGGAGGAAAGCGGTCTTGATAGTCCAAACAAGACCCCAGCTGGCGAGTGATGATGGCTGGGGGGGTGAGGGGGTTGAGGTGCAGACGCCAAGTTTCTCGCACAGTGAGCTCGGTATTTGCACCAGCTACCCTCGAGAATAACAATAATATGGACACGGCGCTGCAAAAGAAATGCAGCACTTACGGACTGCAGAATTAAGCGATTTAAAGACTGCGATCACTGTACTGGTGTTTTACACAATAAGTAAGTGTCTAATCCTAAATATGGATTTACAGAAGACACAAAGATTAAGAACAAAAGGAGGTGAGGTTATGAAAAAGTACAGTGCACTGAAATACTGCCCAGAGGTTCTATGGCTGGACTAATTTCTGATAGATGGTAGTAAGCACCATAATAATGCACATTTTCAAAAATAATTTTTTGTGGGAATGCTTTATTTAAGCAATACAACACTTGAGGAGCGTGTTATCGCGAAATAACATCACAGCTGTGATTTAGTCACCGTAGATCATCACAGTCGTGATGTTATTGGTGATAACACACTCCTCGAGTGTTCTATTGCTTTAATACAACAGTTAAATAAATACAGTAATAAACTAATAAACTGGGCCGTGAACGCGGCGTTTAATATGTTTTAATGTTCGCAGCACCAAATTATAGTTCCTTAACGAGCAGCTTGTTGCTACATCAGAGTAACAAGCTCCACCCACTCGCTGCACAGCCGGCAGTTCGTTCTCCAGCTCCACACAGACCAACTGACCGTTTGGGAATTTAGTGTCGTCTCATCTTCAGAGTCTGACCAAATTGGCTGTCGGTCAAATGTGATCTTAAAAGTGTCCATTTTCTGTTTGTGGCAAAGTAAGAAGTAAAAACGTTTAAATAGCTTGAGCGTCTCCTACAGCTGTCAAAGTCGTTGCTTAGCAACAGCATCTCAGCGGAGTGATACAGTGTTTGTGAAAAAACCATGATGTTATGATAACCAGAACTAACTGTTGTATAATAAGTTAGTAAAAAAGGGATCTTAATGCTCCACGGAAGATTCTGTCCACAGACCCAGACCTAACCGACAGCTCGAGAGGCAAAGTTCGGTGCCTGCTCTTCATCAGGTCTCCTTGATGTTGTACAGCATGCTATAGACAACAATCACATATTTGTTTCCTGCTCATTCTTCACTGTGCTCTTTTGGAACATCAACAATGATCACCGTCAGATCACTGCGCTTCTATTCCGCACCGCACTTCGCTTCATTACCGTCTTCGGTTTGTGACGGCAAACGACAGCACCAGCATTTAAAACCCTGAAGCTTCAAATGGAACCCTGAATGTTCTTGTAGGCAAAAGCTCTGATGTTGGACTTATTCAGCTCTAGAAAGATTAATGCTACTCTGAGAGCATTTTTCTATTATGCTGTCGATATGGTTTAACAAGCATCAGGCAGAGCACTATTGATTTTCCAAAGGAATGGCATGAGAGAGATGGAGAGTGTACTGAATTATACAATGAGGCTGAAACAGCAAGATTACAACAATAATCAATGGAGAGGGACAGCTAAATCAGAAAGAACATGCCCTGGTATGAATGTTAAGATGTTTCTAAAGGCAGGGATAAGGACCGAGGTCTGCACTCTCAGATTTAGAGATGGGTTAAAAATGAGTCGTCGGGGTGAAGCAGTGTTACTTCCATGCTCTGTGAGTTGAGCCGGGTGACAAGCTGCCACCAGCATTTGATGGTAATGATTTAAAATCATTAAAATTCACCATACCATATGTACCTGTAAATGTCTCTCCCTCTGAGCTGCCGGTTAAGGTGACGTTTCCCAGAATTCCACTTCACAACTCTTCTGTGTAGCTGTGGGTAAGGCAAGAGTAGACAGTGTTATGAAGCACATTACAATACAGTCAGTCATACAGTGTAGATTATCTGATATCTTGCTGCTGAATGTGGTTTAAGTGTCAGTATCCAGTCACACCTACATACACAGGTGACAATTTCTAAGAAAAACTGCCATACACACACACACACACACACACACACACACACACACACACACACACATATATGTATATATTGCTGTTACACACATACATACATGCATACATCATCTAAACCGCTTATCCTTCTGGGTCGCGGTGGGGTGCTGGAGCCTATCCCAGCTGTCATTGGGCGGAAGGCAGGATACACCCTGGACAGGTCGCCAATCCATCGCAGGGCAGACAGACAGACATACACAATCATACACTCAATCACACCTAGGGGCAATTAACCATGTCCAATTGGCCTGACTGCATGCAGGACTGTGGGAGGAAACCAGAGTACCCGGAGGAAACCCATGCAGACACGGGGAGACAGAGAAACGACCCTGGTCACCCGGCCAGGAATCGAAACCAGGCCATTCTCGCTGTGAGGCAACAGTGCTACCCACTGCGCCACCGTGCTTTATATAAAATTATAAAAACACAATTTATATATAACAGGTATTTTCAAGTTATGTCAAAAACTGAAAAACGACAAAAATGGAGATACAAGGTTTTCTTGCGACAACAGCGATGTGTATATATATGTGTGTGTGTGTGTGTATATATATATATATATATCACAGACACAGAGTGTTTCAAAAAGATTAATCCGATTCCAAAATGATTTATTTCCCTTGTAAATCATTGCAGAACAATGTAGTAAATTGTAAATGGTTTAAATGGAGGTTCCCTGCTGACGAAAATCACCCGTCTGTATGATCCTGCCTTGTTACATTATCCTATGTATTAATATGGTCGTTAAAAGAATCATTTTCTTCCTTTTGTTATGACAGCAACGATGTACATGTAAAAGTCAAAATACAAATCAAATACAGTGGCAGCGCTCCGTCTACCTAGTCATGTGTTTCTGTGTAATTGTGTGAGAGCAGCTTAAGAACATTTGGTAGGAGCTCCTCTAGAGAGGTCAGAAACCTACAAAAGGACAAGATACTCCTGCCTCATAATAATGAGACTACATGACTACATACATACATACATACACACCTCTGCATATGAATACTAGAATCATGTGCGAAGTCACAGAGGGGTATCTATAAGGCACGATAACCGCTATTTAGCGTAAGCTAATGCACTTTGTAATAGATGTTCCAAATGAAGATCACACAGCATCCACAATTAGGGCCACAATCTAACCTTCATACGACAGTGGTTCAGCCGTAGAGCGCACAGATGAATTAAACAGAAAACGGATTTTCAGCTGAGCTTGAACCGAGTACCCACAGACAGCCGAGCACAGCTTATTAGCCGGGGCTGGGGGTTCATATAGGGCACAACGCTAAAGGCCCGAAACGTTCAACGGTTTCCATGGAAACAAACAGAGGAAAATGAAGGACCAATAAAATGTTGCTGGTTGCTGTTCAAGGTGGAGAGAGCGCAGCAGAGCAGATCAAAGAGCAGAATAATGAAATGTTCAGGGGAGCCAGAATGGAGATGTGAAAAGACCAGGGCACTGCGGATCAGAGGGAGGAGAAAAGGCACTTCCGAACGTGATCTATTTGCATGATTACCCAGTAGTCTGAGCGAATTCACCTTTATGCTTTGTTCTGCCTTAATGATATGGGGAGAGTCTTGGCAGAGCAGCAAAAGCATGCGATGAGTATTTCATTACTGCTCTTTTTATAATTTCCCTCTGCTGAAAATCAGTCTGACAGACGGTACGGATGACTAATGTGGATTTATCAACAGATCAAGCAAAAAGAAAATCTAAAAAATGGAAAAAAAAAACACCAACATCATCAACTCATATGGTTAATACAATGTAAGATACTTGGAAGGGAAAGGCCAGCAAGTTTATGAGCAGGGACCGTGAACCAAACCTGTAGCTGTACTAAACTTCGCCCTTGAGTTCAGCCACAGCTGCTGTGCTGCAGAGTGACACATCCTGCAAAAGGAAGCACTGCACACACAGTGAACGATGCCTCCCAAGACCCCCATAATCTCTGAGCGGAGGGGTGAATTATAGCACTGACATGAACTCACTGCAAATAAACCAGCTAATTATTCTCAATTAGACAAATGAAAAAATGGTCATAAATAAAAGGCCTGGCCAGTTTCAAATGCTGACCTTAGCAAAGACATGAAGCCTATTTCTGGCAACACTCTCACCAAAGTCAACCTAAGCAAACCGCCTGTCCTCAATCTTCTACTGTGCATAAGTGCTTACATAATGCTATGGGCTAACAGTACTCAGTGCACTGACTCATTTCCAACGAAATAACACAAAGAAAAGTTTAGGCTTAGTTTCCCTGGATGGTTCACAAGCTGTACTGGAGCTTCAGGCTCTATCTGGCAGCTGAGTTAAGTGAGTATTCATTAGACAGAAGGGAATTGAATCATCTGTGTGGGACAGTGTGGATCAGATATACATGCTGATGCCCACGCAGCCAGCCGGCACCTCCTGCATTCACCAATCTGGAGCCCAAGGCCCTTCTTGTGTCCATCAGTCAAGGCTGATTAGAAAGGATCAAAAAGGTTTGGCCACAACTGCTGTTCTGGGTGTTAAACCGCCATGGTGGTTGTAACTTTTAATGCTTTGGGTGGTAATCGCTAATTAGGCCTTGGCCCAGGAAGGTTGTTGCTTTGAAATTCAGATGAGATGTTGGCTTTATATGCAAGGTATATTCATAAGATTGATCTATTTGACTGTCTCGTGTGACGTCATATATGACTGCACTGCCATTTTCAAAATGCATGTGGAGCCATCAAAAAAAAGAATTGCAACATTTTACTGCATTTCTACGTAAGCTAACTGACTTACTTCACTGCTCTGAGCAGTAATATCACTAACTTTATCATTTACTAAGCAAATACTGTCGAAACTCATAATCAGTATCTAACCTTTTTTGCAACGATCAGGCTCTCGCCAGAGCACAGGGTTGGGCTGTGTACTAAATACACAATATGGTGCAGATTTACTAAGAGAGGCGCTAATTACTGACACTCCTGACACTTTGCGCTGGTGGGTTTCGCCAATTTAGCAGGTAATCTATAAATGAACACATACGCAACTTCGTCAATATGTGGTGAGTCCAATATAACCACGTTTGGCTCACCTGTTTTTAGTATAAAAGGCTGTTTCCACCAGGTAGGAGGGAAAATACACGTTTTATCCAACTGTTTCAAGTTCAAACTGTGAGTCATTAGGTCAAAAATACTTATTTTCTCAAGATTTTAACTTCAGTCAAAATAATGACAATGTCCAAAAAAATCAACAATTACTCTTTGAGAAAATGTGTGACTATTTCAACATAATAAATGTTTATATGGGGAAAATAAGACAATATTTTGACCTGTTTTGAAACGTTTATTTTCATCCGGTGAGATGAGTTGAAGTTATGAGCAGAGTGCATCTGGAAGCTGTGAGATATTGTAAAATCCCCATTTAATATTACTGAGTGCATCTAGATCATTTGAGAACAACAAAGTACAGACGCCAAAGCACAGGATTAACTAAGTAAGCAGTGAGAGCCAAAGAGTTTCAGTATGTTCTTCTAACAGCCGTTTTAGAGCGGATGCTTTATTATCATAATCTCGTCCAAGTATTTACCACTTTGAGAGTAAAACTCCTATAAATGCTCATCCAATGGGGCGAAAGCTCAAGAGAGTAGCAACCACACCTTTTGTCTTTTTATGGGTGCCGTTGTGCCTAGTTAGTAAATCCCAACAGCAACTTTAACACCAGAATGGAGTTTGTGATGCCGCTAAACACTAGTAAACCTGTCCCTATATGTCTGTAAAACATTGCTTTCACTTTTCAAATGCTTTTATCTACAGCCACTAATTACTGACAGTCTCCTGACACTGCGCTGGTGTGTTCGGCCAATTTAGCAGGTAATCTACTAAGAACTTCCACGCAAATGAACACATAAGCAACTTTTTAATTAATATACGGTGAGCGCAATATAACCACGTTTGGCTCAAATGCTTTTTGTATAAAAGAACTCTTATTGCTGTTTTTTTGTTCACAACTTCTTCACTATTTTTCAATTTGCTCTCAGATTTAGATGCAGCAGAAAACAGCCAGCGCAAGAAAAGGTTTATGTTACTGCAGAGCAGGGGTGTCAAACTCAACCAGTAAAAAGGCCGAATTAAAAAGTCTCATCAAATCTGTGGGCCAGAGAAAAAAAAAAATAAATTTAATTAATGTTGTGCTGTAACCCCAACTGGCCATTGTTTATTCAAAATATGCAAAAACTTCAACAGTAAAATGCAGACACTTGTAGTAGATCTTGAAAAATTACATGTACACTTTAAATATTAAAAATTTCCCCAGATGTCCGCAAAAAATGTCCCCAGATGCTCAGTCGTCTAAACCTACCTATTTGCTTGAACTAGACATCTGGCATCCTTTCTGTGCTGCAAGTTCATTAAGACTTGGGCTCAGTTTCTGAGCTGCTGAGCTGACGTTGGGTGTTTATGTTGGTTGAACGGCAGCTGCAATGCATTTTGGTGATATGACTGGTGTGGAATTGTGCAGAATTATGTAGAATTGAGGTGAAACCTCTGCCTATAGATTGTTGTTGGGGTAGGAGAGTCGGCGCACGTTGCGTTGCAGCGCATGCTGGGGACTGTAGTGCAGCACATTGTGAAACAGGCTAATGTTAATAGAAAATTAAAATACTTATGCAAGCCGGCTAGGATTGTGTGGCGGGCCTGATCTGGGCCGCGGGCCTTTTGTTTGACACATAGGCTGTAGAGCGATCAATACCACTGAGCCCTTGAATAAGGACATTTTCAATATTTTGAATAGCCCCTTCTGCCAATCACAGTTACATCAGGGGTGGTCAATATGACAATATGTTCTGTTATTGT